TGGAGCCGCGAGTGACAGCGCGGCCTGGCTTACCTGTGGCCCCGATCGGTCGGAGCCCCGAGGTGGGGCGCGCGGAGACTGGGGCGCCGGGAAAGTGCGGCAGGGCGGGGGCCGCGCGGCGGCGGAGAGGGCCGGGGTCTTTATGTGGAGTGCTCCGGAGGCGGGGCGGCCGAGGGCTTCGCGGCGGTGCCCGGCGGGTGGATCCGGGCCGGGGATGGCCTTTCGGCCCGCGCTGCCCCTAGGGGAAGAGGGGCCGGGCCGCCGCGTTCCGGGAGAAGCAGTGGTGCTGTTTTATTGGAACGCGGGGAGTGTTTGTTGTTTGCACCTTCGGGGACGGACTCGGTGGTGTCGGGGGGACCGGCTCAGCGTCGAACACGGGTGTCCTTCTCCCGAGCGCGCTGCGCTGGTCGGGGCTCCGAAGGCCAGGGGCCTCGGTGCCGCAGGTCCCAGCCTGCAGCTGAAATCCCCCGGCCCAGCCCGTGCTCCCTACGCAGACTTCTGTGGGTGGTGTTCTGCTGATGGCAGATAGCTTTGCTTTGCTGACATCCTGTTTTGGTTTTGGTTTTTACATCCCATTTGGTTTTTTGTTTTGTTTTTTTTTTTTTGTCACAGAAACGCTTCGTTAAAGGACTCAGGCAATACGGCAAGAACTTCTTCAGAATTAGAAAAGAGCTGCTTCCCAATAAGGAAACGGTGAGTACAATCGGACTTTATGTAACTTGATTTTTTCCTCTGGCTCCTGCTGCTTCTCCGCATCTGATCTTACGAAATGGTTTCCTTCAACCCCGCTCTGTGCCAGACTCAGGCTGGCCTCTAGAATCCTGTTCGCGCTGCTTCCTTTACTCCACTCAGCTGGTGATTTCAGCTGGTGGAGTGACACACTGCTTATCCCCCTGGGATCATGTGGTAAAGAGAAACAGGAAGGTCTTGGGGGAACAGTTAGCTGGGGAAGGGACAGTTGGAGAGTTAACATCTAATTTTAAATCCAATGCCTGAAACAGGAAATGTCATTTTATGGCTAGTTTGGATTTGGTAATTGTCAAAGTCATCAACCAGGCCAGAGGATAGAATTAAGAGGTTTTGGTTTACTGAGCTTCGAAATCTGGATTTTTTCCCCCCAATTCTTTAGTGTTTTGTGCTTTAGAAGAATACTTTAAGTCTTTAATATTCCAACGGCACATGTTTGTTTTCAATGAACAAGGATTTTTCTTGGTCGTTTAAGTGGAGCTTTGAAAAATTCCTTTGATATCAAAAGCTGAGGGTCAAATGCTGAGAAATGCTTCTGATAAACTTGGTGGGAGGGTTTTCTGAGGAGACTTCCCTGTGGTTTCCGGAAGTTGCTGCTGAAAGGGTGCAGTCTCATTTACCTATGATTGCCTGCCTACTAGAGGTGGGGGAGGAAGATGGGGAAGACCACCCACCTCACCCTGCTTGAGGCTTTCTGCTTGACCCTGTAACCGGAAGTACTCCTTAGACCTGCGAGAAGGGTTGTGATATTTAATCTGCCTACACTTTGGGTTGGTTTTTAGGAAGTGGCAAACTATTAATCATAAAAGTGGGGACGGGGTTTTGTTGGTTTGGTATTTTGTTTTCTTGTTGGGACTTAATGATTTCCTCTTTTTGTTCTTTTTCTCTTTTTAAAAAAGAGGATGGACTGTTTCTAGACACTTAAACGGTACTTCTAGGGTCCTGATAGTGGGTTACGGAGGGAGAAAGGTTCTGGGATCCCAAATGCAGCCTAGTATAAATTGATGACTCCAGTCAATGGCAGTTAGATTAAAATGGAATCATTTATTGTGCTGAAATGGGCCACTGGGAATGCGTTAGAAAAATAAAACTTTGTGAAACCAGTGTATTTTTCTTGCCCTTTCCAGAGCAGGTTTTAAAAAGGCATGTAACAGTGAAGGCATGTTCTCCTGAAGTTTGTTACATACTTTTAAACTTAAAATGTTTGGCTGAAGCCTTGAGTTGGAAGCTTTGTTCTAGCTAAGGGAAGAAATACCAGTGAGTAGGTGTGTCCTGAAGTTGTGATCACCTGGTTGCAGCCTTTTAGCTCTGGCTTTCCCCTGCTTCTCATTGCTGTGTTGAGATTTTCTGTCTTTTACCTGCTAAACTGTAAAGTATAAAGAACTAGATGCAAGAAATCTTTTGACAACAATTTTATCTTGATGTCTTCAAAATCAAACAGTAGTACAATTAAGCATTAAATGAAAATCCTAGTTGTGTGGGAGGTAGGTACTGGAGATCCCTGCATTCCCTCTGGGGAGAGGAATCTTATGCATGCTAGGCAATCAAAGTTCTCTGTCCACTTTAATTTTATTTAACATTTTATTTCCTTAGTAACATCAGACCTGAACTTTAACCTAGGAAAAGGTGTCTCTCTTCTGTTTTCCTAATTAGAAAGTCAATTTCTTCTAATCTGTGCTCTTCCAAGCTGTCCCTTCTTATCATAGGATCTGACCTAGTGGACAGCCTTTCTCCCGGATGCCCAGCCCTGGGAGGTGGCTTTCTGGTTGTCATGCCTGGTACCTCTTTCTTGAGACAGTTCACTCATGGCTTTACCTTCTCCTCTGGCACATTCCCTCCCTGTTTACAGCCTCTTCAAGTCACATGGGCACTGTCACTGGAGTAAAACAGAGTGGTTTGCAACAGTGGATGCTGAGCATTCCAGGGTCATCTTGCTCTTCTTTGATTGAATAGGAGAGTTTAGTAGTAGGTAAATCTGTAAGTATTCTAATCAGCCGAGAGAGAGATCCTCACCTTGTATTTTCCTTAGCTGCCAACAAGGCCAAGCTGATCATTACAGGGTGGGGAGGTGGGGCAGGGGAGGGGACAGAGGGTATTTTTCTTTTTTGCTGCTGAAGATGAGAAATTTTGCAGGTACCAACCAAAGTTTGTGGTTCAGAGCTTCCTGATAAGAAATCCTGTGGTCATGAACCTTTTTATACAAAATCCCTGTAATCTAGATACTTTTCCACCTTCTCTATCAGATTGTTAACTTATTTCTTTGCTATTCTCAAATGACTTGAAACTTAAGAAGGGCATTAACATCCAAAAGAGCATGCCTGGTTGGACATAGGAGCAAGGGTCAGCAGACCTGCTTTCTATTCTTGGTCTTGCCAGTAACTATAACATTTGATCTCTTCTAACCACTGTCTGCGTAGCCATACTGTGGGAAGTTCAGGTCATAGTCTGACCAGTACTGTGAAGGTACGGTCTCTAAAATGGTGGTTCTTGGCATGAGAATTGATGTGTGCTCCCAGCCTTACCAAAAGGTCAGGGTGTGTTAGCTGTACTGGAGCAAAGTAATGGTTTCTGCCCCTGTTGCTCACCTGCTGTGGGCCTCAGGCAGGTTATTTAACTTTCTGAAATGGGGTAATAACTCCTAGCCCTTAGAATGGTTTGGGGGATTTAAATGAGATAATATCTGTATACTCTGTTATTGAAAAGTATGCCCCCTCCTCCCCCATCAAATCCAGGACCTCTGACATGCTCGACAAATGCTTTATTACTGAGCTACATTCCACCCCTCACCCTCAGCCCAGGGCTGTTCTGTGGTGGAACCTCAATCTTACCTGTTCTCTCTTACTGGAAGTACTGGGAAGGGCAGAGCAGTGCCTGGGTGGGAACAAGCCTTTACCTCTGTGGGACCCCTTTCCTCCCGGTTTATTCCAGACCCTACTCAGCTTTCCTAGCTCTTTAGGTTTGGGGTGTTTATTATACAAGGCGTTAAGTCTGGCTTTTCTCTGAACGCTGCTGCCCACTGAAGTGGGAATAGTGGCTGTGATTACAGAAAACCAACTGTTTATAGAGGTTCAGTTGAATGGATATTACATGTTAACCTCATGGTACCCAAGAGAGTAACTACAAGTCAGATCTTTTTAGTACTGCAGTTGTGCAGATAACTCTTTCTTCCTTGTTCCATAGCTGTTTGCCTCTTTAATATATTTATAAAATGTATAATTAATAGGTAAAATATGACCAGACTCAACAGAGCATCTGAGATTGGCATTGGTTACCTATTGTTGCTCTCTAAGGCTGTTGTTTGTTTTAAACCACATTGGATTTGAGTGTTCATACGTTATGTGACTCTTGTCAAGCTCTTTAGAAGACAGTGGGAACCAGCCCCTTCTGCCAAAGGCAAGGTCCCACTCCAGGCTGGCCTGGAGCTACTGCCCTTCAGACCAGGCCTCTTGATTGTGGTGGTTTTGTTGTTATTGTTGTTTGGTTTTGTTTGTTTGTTTGTTTTTGGCCTTTTTGAGACAGGGTCTCCCTGTAGCCCAGCTGGCCTTGAACTCAGAGATCCACCAGCCTTTGCCTCCTGAGTGCTGGGATTAAAGGCATGCGCCACCATGCCTGACTTGTTTTGGGGTTTTTTGTTTCTTTTTTGAAACAGGGCTTGGAACAGGCTATGTAGACCAGGCTGGCCTCAATTTTAGAGAGATCTGCCTGCCTCTGCCTCCCAGTTGCTGGAATTAAAGATGGGTACCACCACACCCAGCTCTTGATTCTGTTTTGAGTGCTGCCACCTTATTGCTGGGTAAAAGAATTATATGGCCTTTGACTTTTGATGTTAAAGTACCTGGAAAAAAAAATGGCCAAATTGAGTCAAATCTTAATTACCTTCGGGGAGCACATCTTATGACTAGGATAGAACCATGAGATTTCAAAATAATTTTTATTTTTTGACATTCATTGCCATTTCCTACAAAATCATGAGTTGATGGCGCAAGCCATGGTGGCATAGATCCTCTTCACTCGGAGGACGGTGTTATTCCAATGGAAGGTCGGCACCTAGGTACTTGTGCATTGAAGCCTTTGTGTACAGCTCTGTCTAGCGCTCCCACGTTGGAGTGTGGATGGAGCAGTGACCTGGCTATTCTTGTCACAGACACAGTGAAGATGAGCAAGAAGACACTTGATCTGCCCCAGCTCTCTGGGGAAGAGGTACCCTGGAGTTGTGGCCTCTCAGGAGAGGGAAGGTGCAGGCACATGTTCTCTGCCTTTCTCTTTTCTTCAGCCTCAGTTTGGGGCAATTAGCACACTAAAGATTACGTAAAACGGCTGGTGGTATGTTAATATGACCAGAGCTCTACCACAGCCATACCCCAGCCCGAGAAGCAGAAAATTATAAAACATGTCCATTAGGGACCTGACCTGGTGCAGAGGAAGTTGTGTAAGCTGATGCAGGAGAACTTGGGTTAGAATTATACCCTGTAGATTTTGGGGTTTTTATTTATTTATTTATTTATTTATTTATTTATTTATTAATTATTTATTTATTTATTTATTTATTGGTCTTTTTGAGACAGTGTCTCCCTGTAGCCCCAGCTGCCTTGAACTCACAGGGATCCACCTGCCTCTGCCTCCCGAGTGCTGGGATTAAAGGTGTGCACCACCATACCTGGCTTTAATTTTATTTTTCTTATGTGTATAAGTGGTTTGTCAGCATGCATGTACACATGCACCCATGATTGCAATGCCTGCAGAGGTCAGTAGAGGGCATCAGATCCCCCTGGAACTGAAGTTATAGATGGTTGTTAGGCACCATGTGGGTGCTGGGAATTGAACCCACAACTGTAGCCAGTGCTCTTAATCACTGAGCCATCTCTCTCTAGCCCAACTCCGGGGTGATTTCGATCTACCCTCAAAGAGTGAGTAGGTAGGAAAAATGAATTCTTGGGGGTTTTTTT